TCTACTTGGTGATGACAGTGTTGTCAGATCTCAAATATGTCTATAATCTGAATAAAAATTACAAACAAATACTTTGTTTCCAAAATTGAAGTTGTTGTAACTTCGTTGTTAACAAATATTTTTTAATGAAAATTTGACAGTTTTGATTTATAACGACTACGAATCCAGTGGTGTAGTCAAATTTGAAAACAAAAATTGCCTAATAAACTTTTGCCGTTTTTGACAAACAAAAAAAACCATAGAGTGCCTTGGAAATGAAACTAAAATTGTGAAAGTTAGTGTCAAGATACAGTTTTTCATGCTTAATATTTCAATAAAAAAAAATTGAGATTGATTGAAAAATGCACATTCTACAGGGGTGGTTCCATTTTAAATGGGTCACACTGTATATGAGGATCTCTGATAGCTAGAGGTCTGTTGCAAGTAGACTCGGAAGCAGTTTACTCAGTCAACGAGACAATGACAGACCACCCGGTCAATCAGTGTGCACCAGTAACGTGGGGAGGTCCACACGCGCTTCCCTTAACCTTACTTTTCACCTGTCACTTTTTCCAGCTCATTCCCAGCCACTACACCTTTGCAACGCTGTAAATTCTCAGCACACGTCGTTTTTTTGAACTAGGGAGAAAATGAACAATATCGGAGAATTGAACCCAGGCCGTTTTGGTGTTCGGCTTGGTCCTTAGTTCGATACCAGTGTAAGATAATTACGCTATTGAATTGTGTGCGGAGAGATTGGATAAATCCAACCTCATACACAAGTCAATAAAAATAGTCTCGGACACTCATGCTGCTTTGGAAGCTCTTGGCTCCTACCGAGAAACCTGTAAGTTGGTAGCAAAATGCCAAAAACGACTCTCCTCGATAGGAAGACTTGACAGATGGCCTCTGGTCTGGATTCCTGGCCATACTGGCCTGGAAGGCAATGAGGCTGCTGACTCCCTTGCAAAGGAGGGTGCTGCAAGCAGCTCCATCGGACCAGAATCTGTCATTGACATCGCTTTAGGCTTTACCAAACAAACAGTGAACACCTGGATGGCAAAAAGATTGATGGACTTCTGGCAGAATCTTCCAGGATTGGCTTCCAGTACGGCAGAGCCGTACTTTTACCATCTGACCTGAAAGATCACTCACCATACAAACTAATCGGCTTCGTTAAGAAGCTGGATTTATTTGGTCGAGGGTAAATAGGTGTGAGCCACAATAAACCCTTGCGGGTTAAGATGTTGAAGAAGTAAGAAGTAACTCCTAACTGGTGACAGAGTGGTTTATCATTGACTGGGTGGTCTGTCTCGTTGAACTGCCTCCGGGTCTACTGACATCAACAGCCAAATATGAAATAGCTTCTTGGTTCTTTGCGCATTCACTCGAACAGATAGTAGAGGAAACCAGAGCCCGAAAATGTCAATCCATGGATGGCGTCTATGTAAGGGAAGTCGTTATGCTTCTAAATAATAAGGATACAGAAATTCGAACAACTTCAGGTTGAGTTATCGATTTGTGGTTATGAAAACCAGTTCCAATAGTTATTTTTTCTCACAATGTTTTTCAGTGCGCATGCGTTAGCGTCAGCTCTGTTTCTCGTAGGTACTGAGTTTTGCAAAAAAAAAAACATGTTAAAATATACGAGGACAAATAATGAACAATAAAAAATTATTAAATTATTCACATTCATTTCAAGTAGGTTATAAACAACAAAATAAGAAGTTCCCTAATTAAAAAAAAATCTGAGTGATTATTACAATGTTAACTGTCTGAAAATTACAACAAAATGCATCCACGTTATGAATCAATCAAAACCAATACCAACCTATTTCGTAAATTTCATAATTTATTGTTGTAACGTATTATTGTTTTGAATATCAAAAATCAAGTAAAAGTTATGAAAGATACATATATATTTGCTACTGTATTTAAAAAAAAAAGTATGCGACCAACTACAATAACAATTTTGTATTTTAAGTAGTGATTAATTTTTAGGAAATAAAGTTTTTGACTTTCTACTACTCCATCTTGATACAAAAAAGTGGGAATCTTCCAAAGAAAGGAAGGAAGCAATAATTCAGTGTTCACATAAAAGTATTTGTTTCGAAATAATTCAATGTTTATATGAAAGCAGCTGTTTCAGGAGGGATTTTTCTTCCAGTTAGGTACTTCTTTCCTTTCTTCGGAAGATTCCCACATTTTTTTGTATCAAGATGGAGTAGTAGAAAGCCAAAAACTTTCTTTCCCAAAAATACAATAACACTATTTCGAAATTATTACCTTGAACTTAACCTCACAATTTCAAATGGAATTGGAAATTCGCTGAAATTCATTACGAACTTTCTGAATAACAGAAATTTCAAAGTTCGTGTTAATGGCACACTTTCCTCCAAAAGAACCCAAGATAATGGAGTCCCCCAGGGAACCTCGCTGAGTGTTACTCTCTTCTTGGTTGCTAACCTCACAATTTTAAATGACTCAGATTAATAATATTATTGGTGATCAATTTCTATGTTCAATTAAAATGTTATACTTGAAACAATAAATTGTCATAGTTTATGAGGACGTAGGTATTCAATGATTATTTACTTAATTTTCATAAAGTGATGAAAAATAACATAAAAAAATGATATAACAACTTTATTGGTTGATAACTAACCTCTATGTGAACGTCCACGACAGTTCAGCGACCTCTATGATTGTTTACAGTACCTTTAAACTAGGTACAGTTCTTTCAACATAGCGATGCACTTCTGCTTGTCACTTGATGTATAAGTCTTTTGTTGCTAATTCCCAAAAGAAGTGTATCCGAAATGAATCAATAGTTCGCGCGACTGAAACAGTAGGACGTCCCTGTCAGCGCTAATGAAACCTCTTATTAAATAGTCAGAAAATAAGTTTATGGACAAATGAAAGTTCTGTCAGTACTAAACATTGACTTTTCAAGATTTCCTTTTCTCAAGAAAGTTAAAAAGTTATTCCATTCTCTATTTGCACCTACTATCAGCTGATTTTTTCTAATTCAACAGAAAAGAGAGAAAATTCGCTGTTCAAAATATCTTTAGAAAAAGTCTCGAAAACCGTCAGGGTGCTGTATTTATACCATTTACCAAAACAAATCTCTACAGATAACTTTTGTTTTCTTTGTTCAAGTTCTTAGTACTTGTGGACGATAATGATATCAATATCAACTTGAATCGATATCAAATTGAAATGATATTCTTATTGAATTGAAAAATAAATAAGTGGACTACAATGGAATTCATTTTCAATGAATATTAGGCTTTTTTTAATAGCGACTATAACTAAATCACATATAATATGGTTTATCACTATCCCAGATTACAGCAATTCCTCATTAACTTAAAAAATTTTCATCTGATGGATGATAGAATAGAACAACAGCAAAGAATATGAATGAACCAATCGAAGACATTTCCATTTAAGTATCTGCTTCACTTCAATAAGTAATCATAGGAACAGAAATTTTCACTATAAAAAAAGCCAGTTCACTTGTGAAGTTTGAAGGTACAGACGAACTTATCTCCTGCACTGGTTCACAGAACATGACATCAAGCACAACTTTCTATTGCACAATAATTTTATAGGGCGTCGAACCTGAATTCAGCTTCTATTTTGAACAGGAAAATAAAAAATTCCGAAGATTGATAAAAAAAACTGAAAATGAGATTGATTCTTCAACAAATTATCACAATAGGGGTACCAGATTTTTGGAATTTTATGAAATTGTATTGAAACAAAGCTTCTTATACTTCCAAAACAAGAAGGAACATCTATTGACTGTTTGTTTATACACTTTTCGATGAATTTCTTCCTTTAACAATAAAGCAACTTTCAACTATTTTCAATTATATTTGATATCTCATTATACTTTCACATCGGAAAAGTNCCCAAATACTACTAAAACTTAAAAATATTTATACATATTGTTATATTCAATTCGAAATATCAATGAAAGTATTGTGAACAATATGAGCTCAAACAAAAAGCAATGAGAAATCATTTGTTACATGTTATTCGAACTAATTATCAAAGAGTAAGATTTGAGTAGATTATGAATAGTAGGACAGATTTTTTCTGAGGCGAACTTAATAATCAAATACATGTTCATTCTTGAATTTCATGATGATTGTCGATAATACTTTTTCAATCATTATCTTTCATTCACACACTATCCGTTATTGGCCTCGCACTCGCAATATTAGATTTTTTTAAAGTTTTGTCCTTCACATATAGTCAGTGGGCATACTTGTAGACTGGCTATAAGTCAAATCATCTAAAGGAACAATTCGTTCAGGCCAGTCTCAACTCCCTACACTGTAGGTTAATGGACTGACGCCTATCAGAAAACAACTACTATCCTGGCTAATACCACGAAGAGCGTTGAATTATTTCCGACAGGTGTCAGTGCAGGATTATTCACTGAAATTATTCCTGCATATGCTGTTGGCGATACAACTACCGCAGTAGATTTTCAATCATTGGAACACACTTGCAGACCGGTTTCGGGCTGTTTGGCCACTCGTCAGTGCAAGGTAGTGTCTATCATCAACAAAATGTCGATGATTTCTGGTAATTGAAAATCGAATTCTTTCAGAGTATCATTCCCCGAACTATGTTGAGGCGGACAACAAACAACAGATTTGTCATCGCCCCATCTGCCTGTGAACGAGGAAACCAACCGCATATCCGAAATTTCCTTATACGAGGAATTGGGCAAATTCCGGATATATAAAAATAAAATCATAGAATATCTTCGTGTTTCACTATTTACAATGAATAAGGCAGTTCTCAAATTGCAAGGGGTATATTTTTAAGTTTATTTTGAGCGTGATTGCTTTTTTCCTTCTTTCGTAAGTTTCCAATATTTTTTGTATGAAGAAAGAGATATAGAAAGCCAAAAATCTTTCCTTCCCAAAACAGTTCCTGTTTCTCAAAAACGTAATCTTTCAGTAAGTGTGGGAGAGAGAGAGAGAAAGAGAGAAAGGAGAGAGAGAGAGGTGTTAGATGAAATCTCGATTCAATTTTTTAATTTCTACCAAAAAATTCACATTTGTGAATTATCACACATTTGGATACTCTTTGATTCCACTGATTCGTTTTTTTCTTGGGGCCGTTTAAGTATTACGGAAGTATTAGGTATAGGGGGGCGGAGGTATTTGCTTTGCTTATTTTTGATGACATGGGGGGTGGTGGAGTCTTAGATAGTGATTGCGTCAGCAGTAGTTATTCACTATTTTACACATATGGCAAACCACACATTGTTTATGTTTGAAAAATGAAAAATGCATATCAAAATGTTTACGTAAACATGGGAGGGAGGGTAAGAGCTTCGTTTACTTTCGCTGGCAAACGATACGGGAGGAGGGGGGAAATAATTGTAATAAATATGCTTACGTAATACTTGAACGGTCCCAAAGCCGCGAAAATAAAATTCTTTCTCAACATAATTATCCTTTCATGACAATAACTCACTATTGCGTGGATCGGCAAAAAAGTTGTAGGTTTCAAAGTGGATAATAACAAGGATGATGCGTAGGTCTGCATGAAATGAGGAAAACAAATTATTATACACGTGCCTACGACTTTTACATGACCATATAACAATCTTCAATCAATTAGTTACCGTTTTTGCAGGCTTTGTTCAACCCATAGAAATCTATAGGGTGGTCGAGTGTACCAATTTAATCGAAATTAAACGACCTCATGCATTTATTTTTATGATATTTAGTATGTTATAAAAATATCCATAGACTTTTCCGATGTGTGTATAATGCTATGTAATGAACATTGATAGCCATTTCGTGTTGATTTCAATAACTTGTTTACACAAAACTACATGCCAATTACTCGATAGAGCCTTGATAGAATTCTCTTACTTTCTTTCTGAATTTCTTCTCATTGTAAATTCGCCTTAAATTAATGGGAAGGTGATTAAATAACTTTTTGCTATAGAAAATATTAGAATTTTGTGTAAGGGCTAGAGTAGGTGTTGGAACGGAAATGAAGTAAGACTGACTTGTACTATAAGTTGAGGTGGAATTAAATTGATTTTTATATTTTTTGTGGATAAGACACACTGTTTCCAAAATAAAAAGACATACTATGATCAGAATTTTTATCTTCACAAATAATGGGCGGCATGAATCCCTGTAGCTAGCCTTGCATAAATATCTGATGGATCTTTTTTGTTGAGAGAATAAATACCCTACTGAAAGGAAATTGTGCACAATTTCCCCAGAAATAAAGTCCATAAGGTAAATAGGACTCAATTTGTGCAAAATAAACTGATCTTTTGATAGTAGTGCCTAACTCTCTTGCAACAACTCTCACTGCATGTTTGTCAAGTCCAAGAAATAGTAGCATACCATTTGTAAGTTCTGAGACAACTTTTAAAATGTAAAAATAAAGTTTATAGCTCAAATTCCGAGATACTTAACTAATTTTGACAAAGGTGATCGAACCAATTACTGTGGTACCTTTGTCAGCTTTTATAAGTGTGTGTTGTTATTATTGATTTTCTGTTTTATCAACTTTTGTGTTTCATATTCGGAATTTCGATATTGTAAAAAGGAAATACTGTTTTTGACGGTGTGTGCTGCTCTATGTTTGAGGTTATGGTCTGTCTGAGGTTCTGGATTTGAGTGCAATTTCTGTTTAAGTACCCAAAATTTTCAAGTTTTTCGCTAAATCAACCTAAATACAATTAATTTCGAAAATTCTACCATTATTATTATGGATAGTGTTATTAATTTTCATCAAGTTACGTATCAGTGTATTCATAATCAGCACTTCAGCACTTGTTAAACATTTCACAAAAACCTTTAAACTCTTCCGCAACATAACTCTCTGATTCAATTGTTTGTTTTTTAGCAATGTCTTTCGTTTCTACAACATGCACTGCCAACACATGTGGACAAAATGCTCAATGCCAAGTTGTTCAAGGACGTCCTGTATGCTCTTGTTTGAGGGGACATTCTGGTGACCCACTTTCGTACTGCAAAAGGTAAACTTTTCAACTTGTATATCCAATTCTCAAAATTCTTCCTGTCTATGGATATCTAGTTAGCCTAGACCGATTATGTTACTATAGCAACGAAGAATAAGTTATTGGAGCGTCAGTGTGAAGTTTACGTCAAAAAGTCAAACCAGAATTGGGCAATGATATGTGAAAAAAAAGAATGTTTACCATAATTGTGAAAAATAGAATACGGAGCCACCATGGGCGCCGCCAAGATTATTTTCAGTGAGGTGCATCTGCATCTACACATACTATTAACCACTATTAAATATACAGTGCTAGTCAAAAGTCCCCTCCCCCCCTCGTATCTTTGGAACGGGTATACTTATAATAATGAAATTTAGAGGGTGGAAATAAACGGATGTAGGCTTCTTAAGTGGTCATAACAGGTGACGCAATAGTCATAAATGACGTCACAAGGCCACTGTGACCAAAAATTTTAAATGGGACCCTATGGCAAGTGACAGCTCGTTTGAAAGGTATTGAAAATACCTATTCAGTCATACCAATTTTGTTTGGGTTTCGGCTGATTTTGATTGATAAATTGAAGAAATACGAAAATTATNCCAAACAAAATTGGTATGACTGAATAGGTATTTTCAATACCTTTCAAACGAGCTGTCACTTGCCATAGGGTCCCATTTAAAATTTTTGGTCACAGTGGCCTTTTGACGTCATGTATGACTATTGCGTCACCTGTTATGACCAGTTAAGAAGCCTACATCCGTTTATTTCCACACTCCAAATTTCATTATTATAAGTATACCCGTTCAAAAGATACGAGGGGGGGAGGGGACTTTTGACTAGCACTGTATAACTACACAATGATATGTATAGCATGTGGACAACAGAGTTGCGATTATTGAGTATTTTTTCTAACGCATTAGGCTTTCATTACCACATATTACTTGATTTTGTAATTATAGTATGAAATAATATTGAGTACTTCTTATTTTCACTTTGTATGTTCAATATCTCCGAATATTGTTTCATTTTGTAATAAATTTAGTAATAATAGGAATCAAAAAAATTAAGTACCTACTTTTCTTTTTTATTCCACCTAGCTGCCAATTTCAAATATGTTTTATTTCATATTCAGAAAAAATTAAAGTACCTATATGATACATTTCATGGAAATCTAATTTTTGTATTTTTCCTCATGACGCTTTTTGCAAAAAAATTTGTTCAGACTCAGTTTGTCGAGCTGAATCAGAAAATACATATGGTTCAAAAATTTACATCTGCGGTTTTTGCATCTCTGATTTTTTTGAATATTTTCCATCTTTTAGTATTGTTCAGAAGATGTCTGTCTCCCTAATATTTTGAATTTTTTGTATGAACTCGTTTTCGAGTTTTTTGTTAAACGTGTGTAACTTTGTGAAAAGTAATGGGGAGGCCAGGATGGACCAATTCCGACTGGAAAACTCAGCGAACTACAAAAGATCGGACCGAACAGAAATTTCGAAACATGTGGAGGAGCACATATTGAGTATGTGCACGGACCACATGACACCGAAGTACACCTTTAACACAAACTTCACGGCCAAAACCATAAGCCATGAAGAGTGGATGACCATTAGTCATCCCGAAAACATGTTTGGAAAAAACACCTGGTATACAGATGGATCGAATTTAAACTACAGTTATCCGCTAGGACTATACACATCCGTCTTTCAGGCAGAAGTGTATGCTATCTTGCAGTGTGTAAGGCTTATCAAATTGAGACCTCAAAGAAATGAGCGGATCAATATTTTTACAGACAGCAAGAGCGCACTAGGGGCTCTGACAAACTCGAAGGTGACATCAAAACTGGTCTGGGAATGCCATGAAGAACTGAATGAACTTGCAAACAGGAACAAATTAACTTTGTACTGGGTGCCAGGGCATTCAGGAATCACAGGTAATGATAAAGCTGATGAATGCGCTAGACGCGGATCATCAACTTCATATATAGGTCCTGAACCAGCTCTGGGGGTACCAAAATCATTGGTACGAAACCAGATTAGGACATGGACCAATAAGAAGCACACATAATACTGGACAAAAGTACCTGGCAACAAACACCTTCATTAGGAAACCGTCCAAGAAAAGAACCGAAGAACTACTTCAATATAGTAGGGATCGGCTCAGAATAATTACAGGGTTACTAACCGGTCATTGTCCGCTTAGAGAACACCTGAATAAAATGGGGCTGTACAACGGGGACCTCAGCTGCAGATTATGCAACGAATAGGGATAGAAACAGCTCTACACATCTTATGCGAACGTGAGGCACTGAATCACAGGAGGCAGGCAATATATGGACGTACGAAATTACGTCCAGAAGAATATGATGAACATTCAACACGAAACCTGTACAAACTAGTACAGGGAACGAGACTGATGGAATGGGTGTCATGAGAAGATTGGAGAACAAACGCAATAAGCCCAAGAGGCTGCAGTGTTTTCTGGAGACTTGGACTAAATGGACAAGTCAGACAGCTACCAACAGACCAAAAAAAAAGTATAGATTGTTCATTTTCTACAAACACCTGCTGAGCTCAAGAAATTTTCACTTATTCTACAATTTTAAGACCCAATTCGAAATGGGATCAACGTGAGATTTGAAAATTTTCTAAAGAATCGGCTTCAAAAATTCTTTTGATATCTATCAATCTCAGATATCAAAAACCATATAAAGGTAAAATTACAATGTAGCATTGAACGTACATTTAGCAGCACATTACGACAGATGAAGACGTGTAATCGCTCAACGATGGGAGATGAGCGGCCTGTGCATGCTCAGTGTTAACAGAAAAGGAATTGAGGAGCATCCGAATGATCCGACAATCCATAGCATCGAAGTTTAGCCAGCAAACCCTTATGCCACACACGGTCAAAGGCTTCGGGAAATATCAAGCGCAACAGCTTTTGACTGTCCATGTTTCTCTATTGCGTTATTCTCCAAATATGAGTGACATACGATAGAAGGTCGTCTGTTGATCTTTGTTTCCGAAAGTAATATTGATGATCGCTCAAGATGTTGAAGCCTTCCAAATATTCAAGGCTATGGTGATTTACGGCTTTCTACATGATTTTTGATATCACTGATAGCAAAGCAATTGGTCTATAGTTGTTTGGACGATTTTTTTTGCCCTTTTTGGAAATAGACTGAATGCAAGCAATCCTCCAACAAGAAGGAAAAATCCCTTCCTTGGAAGACATGTTAAGTCTGCAGAATACTGCTGCAAACTCATTCCCACACTTTCTAAGTATGATGATGGGCACTTCATCAGGATTAGATTCCTTGTTGAAAGTAAGCTGTATCAAAATTCGCCCGACTAGACGTTTTCGAAAAGTAATTTCCGGCATTGTGGATTCTAGTTTGGACATAGTGGGTGGCGTCTTTCCCAGAAAATCGACTATGGAGTGGGACGCAAATGGTTCAGCTACTAGATTTGCTTTTTCTATGGCAATAGCCCGTTTTATGAGGAATATATGTATATAGTAATATCAATGAATTCCATTATTCAAACGTCTCTCTGAGTATTTCTTGATTTTAAATGAAAACAAACAATATAATATCAATTAACTCTTTCACCAAGGAGAAACTCTAGTCAAATCTAACATTAACGAAAACATTGTTAAAGCCAGTAACAAATCAAAACAAATTTGGAAGGAAGTCAACACAAAATTAGGCAGAAGTCCAAAAAATAAAAGCGGTATAACACTTACAATAAATGATACCACATTTACTGATCCCGTCTCAGTAGCTAATTGTTTTGGCGAACATTTCTCCACTAATATAAAAAACAAAATTGACGAATATTTTGGAGTTGACATGTCTCAAAGCTGCACCACTGGTGAAATGCAACAAAATACCTTTTTCTTCGAACCCGCCACAACCGAAGAGGTCAAATCAACAATATTCAACCTCAAAAGTAAAACGGCATCAGGACCTGATAATGTATTTCCCAATGTTTTGAAACTAGTTTCCATTAGTGTGGTGCAACCCCTAACTGACCTGATCAATATGTCTATTGAAACAGGTGAATTTCCAGATGTGCTGAAATTGAGTAAAGTGATCGCCATACATAAAAGTGGTAATAGATCAGAAATTGATAATTATAGACCAATTAGTCTTCTCAGTATTTTTTCAAAAATTTTAGAAAGACTAATGTACAATAGACTAATGAATTTTTTAATAAGTCATAAAATTTTATCTGATTCTCAACATGGATTTCGCATGGGCAGGTCAACTGAATCTGCTACTACCCTTTTTGTTGATTTCATATCTAGGAATATGGACAATAGGAAGCACGTGGCAGGAATTTTCTTTGACTTGTCTAAAGCTTTCGACTGTNGAAATTCGAATAATTCTAAAGATAAACTCTTGACTCACCCAAATGAAATATTCGCAGGCAACACAACCATTTCGAAATGTTTACTTTTCGATTATTATGTTGTTTTGAAATGGCGGTTATTTTTAGAGCTGAATGCCTTGACGACGCCGAATGCAGGGGACAATCCACCTGCAGGAATGGGAAATGCATTGACCCCTGTGCAGGAACTTGCGGACCAAATGCACTCTGCGAAGCGAGAAGAGGCATTCCCGTCTGTTCCTGTCCTCCAGGGTACACCGGAGACGCGATAACCTCCTGCAGAAGATTCGATCCTGGTAAGCACTACAACACTACGACTGCTTTGTTGCATATAGTGGACGATATTATGAGAGCACGTGACGCAAAAAATAATACAGTATTGGTACTTCTTGATTTTAGTAGAGCGGTCGATACTATTAACTTCGATTTAATGTTATTAATTCTTGGCTATATAGAACTCTCTAAAAATGCTATATCACTAATCAGATCGTATCTCACCAACCATCAACAAAAGGTTACCATAGAAAGAAAACAGCTCACAATATTTAAAGCTGATATGTGTAGTACCACAGGGCTCTATTTTGGGACCCCTTTTGTTTGCTATCTACACATCTCAACTTGCAAAATGTTTAAAATTTTGTAATCTACTTTTATATGCAGACTATACCCAGTTGTATTATAGCTTATCACCTGAAATGATAGATAATTCGTGTACTCAAATCAATAGACTTAAAATTATTTGTGAAAAATGCTCCTTATCACTGCTTAAATATAAATTATAGTAAATCCAATGTTATTGTTTTCGAACCAAAAGGTTCGATATTTGCAAATCTGAGAAAGCAATAGTAAATGATCATGTACTTGGGGTTGTCCCAGAAGCCAAAAGCCTGGGCATCATTTCAGATAAGGACTTGAAATTCGAAAGTCAGGTTGATCAGTTTATTATGCGTGCATATTATTCGGTTAAAAATATATAAGGACACCGAAATTTCCTACCCATGAAGGTGAAGGCGAATTTGTGCGAATCATTAGTTTTATCTATATTCAATCATGCTGATGTTTTGTATGGTCCATGTTTAACCAACCAATTCAAGAAAAAGATACAAAAAGTTCAGAATTCCTGCCTACGGTTAATTTTTGGTATNTAAGAAATGGAGTTCCAACGTGCCTGTGCAAACCTGGTTATCATGGTTCCCCTCTGGCTGGATGTCGCCATGAATGTGACAGCGATGCTGAATGTGGGCCTACAGCTGCCTGCATAGAGTTCAAATGCCAAAATCCATGTTTGAGTCAATGTGGAAAGAACGCTGAATGCGAGACCATCAGCAATCACCGGGCCGTTTGCAAATGCCCCAAGGTAGGCAACATTTACACTGACATTGAAACAGATAATTACGGAAGAATTAGTAGAAACTTCATTACAGTGTCTGCTTCCAATATTTGTTATATCAAGGTTTTAGAATAATTTAAAGAACCGCTCTTAGAACTCCTTGGAGAGAGGCTAGATGGACTGCTGATAGAATCTTCCAGGGTTGGCACGAAGATTGGAGAA